CTTGTACAGCCTGCAGACCCAACAATAAAACCCTTGCTCCAAAAAGCATCCAGAAGGAACCATCCTTCATTTTATAGTCCGGTGAGTCCTGTTTCATCCTTCTGACCTGCGGAACTGTAAGGAAGTATTCAAACCACTAACTAATGTTGGGGTAATATGTTACAGAAGCAATGGGAAAAATAGTACAGCCCTCGGAATTAGTGTGAAGTAGCATCTCCTTTACAGTTTTGATCTGCATTTGTCAAATGACTAATGATGTTGAGCATCTTCTCATGTGCTCTTCGGCCATTTGTTTTTTTTTGTTTTTTTTTTTTTTTTTGAGACAGAGTCTCGCTTTGTCGCCCAGGCTGGAGTGCAGTGGCCGGATCTCAGCTCACTGCAAGCTCCGCCTCCCGGGTTTACGCCATTCTCCTGCCTCAGCTTCCCGAGTAGCTGGGACTACAGGCGCCCGCCACCTCTCTTTGGCCATTTGTGTACCATCTGGGAGCAAAGTCTAGCAGGTGACAGACCATGCTGTGGTGTTTGCACCTCATTCTACAGCAATGGAAAGGAAACATGGCCATTCAGACTGTGGAGGAACTGGACATAGAGGCATCTAGAAGCACTGTGTGGGGGCCTGTGGTGGGGAGAGAGAGAGGCAGGAGGTCAGGAGGGTTCAGTGACCAGAAAAAAGGTGAGGCTCCAGGAATGAACAGGGTTAGGATGGAGAAAAGGGCTCCAAGGTGAGCTCTGCTTAGGAGAAGGAGGGACAAGAATTAGTGATCTATGGGATCTGGAGAAGGGAGGAGGAAGCTCACGATAGAGAACCACACCCTTGTTATGACTTTAAAGAGGGGGTCACTGTGTCATCAGTGGGATGGGGATCCCAGAGGGAAAGTTGTTTGTGGGTGGGTAGATGGTTGGTTCAACTTTGGCCATGTTGAGTGGAGGAATCGTAGGAGCCATCTAGGGAGAGGTGTCTAGTGGGATGTTGGAGGGTGAGACTTCCATGACACTCATCTGGAAGATTGGCCCGTGACAGCGTTTACAGCCTCCACACCTGCTGCTGCCCTTGCTGCATTCCTACTGCAGGACCTCATAATAAGCGAAGGGCCCACGGCCTGTCACTGTGGCCAGATCAGGGTATAGAGAGCAGCAAACTCACCTTCCTGTGCCCTGCTAAGGGGCTGGAGGGGACTGAGGTGGAGAGAGCAGGCCTAACCTCCAAAACTTCCATGATGAGAGCTGGACTCTCGCCCAGAGTTGGGGACAGACAACAACTGGCCCATGCAGAATTCTCATCACAACTCAACTGCTGGCCTCAGGCCCTCGTAACTGGTTCAGGTCCCTCCAGCACTAGGAATCGAATTCAGCATCATGTCCCTGCCTGCCCCACACCTCCTGCTTTGGTCCTGGGGCAGCACTCACCTGAGGAAGATGAGGCAGAGACAGAGAAACAAGATCTTCACAGCTGCCTCCCTGATGGCCAAAATAAACACCTCCACCATGACCCCTGGTTTTACTGGGAAAAATGGGACAAGGAAGATTCACCTGCTACACCACAATTCCTTGTTTTTCCTGTTCCTGTCAGACTTGGACATTTGTTCTTCAGATCCTTCCTGAGTTCCTGGATGGAAGAACGTGTCATTTCCAGGCCTCACCTCAACCCTTCCCAAGACTGACCAGCAGGAAACAGAGGGCTCTGGCCTCAGTGTCAGTCCAGGCCTCAAAGCTGACTTTGAATCTGGGCTGAGCGCACTCCTATTCCCTTGGGTGACCCCAGGGGGCCACTTGCTTAGCTACCTGGGAGCTGCAGGTTGTGAGAGGCTGCGGTCTGGCCTGCAGCCCCTTGACACTCACTCTGCAGGGACAGCATCAAGGAGCTCTGCTGTTCCCAGAGGGTTCTGAGCTTGGCAGGTAAATTCTCCTTCATCTCTGAGGTGCACTTGCAGCTCTAGCACTCCAGTGTTGGACTGGGAGGGGCTCAGGGTCAGGCTCTCCTGGGCCCAGCTCAGCCTGGCTGGAGGTTTGCTGTTGAAAACACAGACCAGGTGCAGACACTGTCCTTCCAGGACCTGAAGTGAAGTGATAAACCATTTTTCAGGGTTACGGATTCTGGAGAGAAAGAGACAGAGGGTCTGAGTGACAGACATTGAGAAGGAAGGAGAACTCTGAAGAAGAGCAAATAGAGGGACAGATTCCGACACACAGACACACAGACATAGACTGAGAGAAACAGAGACTATGAAATGGATCTGAAGAGAGGAGTGAGCAGCAGCCCAGAGCCTGGCTCAGGCCCCAGTTTCTCTGTGAAGGGTGATATAGTTTGGTCTCTGCACTGATGGGCCCTGTTCAGCTTGCTCGAGGCCCCAGAAAGCACAGAGGTCTCAGGCTTCACAGGACACCCAGATAAGATGTCAGATTAGACCCATATTCCACACCCTCTTCAATGCGGTTACTGACACTTTAGCATCCAGGTTGACCCTGAATGTTCTTGTTCTCTATCCATATCCTCACCTGACACTAGTTTACTGACTTATCACCATGCATCTGACAGAGACTCACTCCAGGAAATTCAGAGTCTGGTGAGGAGGGGGGACTTAGGAACAGGTGTTCACAAGGCCACATGACACATGATGGAGGTGACTCAGGATGCACAAGCCCTGAGGATGATGATGTAAACCAGTAAACGTAAATGAGGCAGTACATGTTGTGGTCCAGGAGGGCTTCCTGGAGGCACAGCTACTTCACATCTGAAGTAAGATGTGAAGGATGATCCTGGGAGGCTAGATGACAAGGAGGGTTTCCAGGAAGGAGTAACAGAGAGTGCAAAGATGACCAAGGCCTGTGCACATCCAGGGAAAAGAGAGAATAGACCTGCAGGGCTGGAAGGAGAGGGGGTATTCAGCATGGAGGTTAAGTCCAGAGAAGGGACCCAGAAGGAAAAGCAGGGGGATTTGTTTTAATAAACTCAGTGGGGCAAGTCAGAATCCATAAAAGAGATTGATAAATGCAACTGCGGAAATAAATACATCCCTGCACATTGTAAATCAAGGACATCTAAGAAAAAGTCACATGAAATGTTGGAAATGTGTTTGAAACTGATATCACTGATACACATTAATTTCTCAAACTGAAAAAAAAAAAAAGAATTTACAACAAAGGTACTGAATTTAAGGAACTGGAACGCAGGGAGGAGGCGAGAAGTGAAAGGGAGCAGTGAAGTAACTGAACACTTTGGTATCAGCAGAATGCTATCAGTAGCTTTTCTTCCTAGGTTTTAGAGAAAAAGGAGAAAAGTGGTGTCTGAAGCCTTAGCATTGATATCCAGGGATAGATGGAATCAAAATGGTAACCTAGGCTGGGTCTGGTGGCTCATGCCTATAATCCCAGCGCTCTGGACGAGGGAGGAGGATTGCTTGAGCCCAGAAGTTTGAGACCAGCCTGGGCAACATAGGGAAACCTCATCTCTACAAATAATTAAAAAGTTAGCCTGGTGTGGTGGTGCACACCTGCAGTCCCAGCTGTTTGGGAGGCTGAGGTGGAAGGATTACCTGAGCCTGGGAGGTTGAGGCTGCAGTAAGCCATGATCAAGCCACTGCACTTCAGCCTGGGCAGCAGAGTAAGATTTTGCCTCAAGAAAAACAAACAAACAAACAAACAAACAAACAAAACAAAAAAACCAAGAAACTTATAATAGTAAGGGAGTTGCCCAAGAAAGAGATGTAGAAAATGACCCCTTCCTTTCCTCTTCTCCAAACTGTTACCAATGGTCTCAATCAGAAATGCACTAACGTAGAAGCCTAAGAAAGCCAACCTGCAGGGACCATCCCTCCCTGAAACACAGAGCGGAGCAGAGGATTGGCAGGAAATGGATCTGAGAGCAAACAGGACCAGGAATGACACATCCTAAGATGTCTCTGGATTTCAGGTCCATCAGGTGCCCTACTAACTTCAACTTTTGGAAGCAATCTCTCTGAGATTTCTGACCTGTTGTAATCTAGGTTGAATATCTGCTAGACTTGGCTTACAGTGTTTATCTGGGGATCACCCTTCACCCGAGGATTCCCTTTGTCTTTCCCGTGGATTATATTTCCATTTCCCATATACTATATCTTTGTTTTTCTAGGTTTATTTGCTCAATTGTTAAAACATATTTTCTAGTAGTTTTCTGAGAAATTGTACGAGGAAGTGTATTTTGAGGCTATTTTGCCTAAAAATATCTAATTATCTTTATTCTATCTAATGCCTAATTGTATAACTGTATATGGAATTCTAGATTGTAATAATTTGTCTTTAGAATTTTAAAGTCATTATTCCATGGCCTTCTATCTTCCACTGGCCACTGAGAAGTCTAAAGTTATTCTGCTGGGCACAGTGGCTCATGCATGTAATCCCGGCACTTTGGGAGGCCGAGGCGGGCGGATCACCTGAGGTCAGGAGTTCGAGACCAGCGTGACCAACATGGCAAAACCCTGTCTCTACTAAAAATACAAAAAGTTAGCTGGGTGTGGTAGCAGGTACCTGTAATCCCAGCTACTTGGGAGGCTGAGGCAGGAGAATCACTTGAACCCGGGAGGCGGAGATTACAGTGAGCCGAGACCTTATCATTGCACTCCAGCCTGGGCAATAAAAGCGAAATTCTGCCTCAAAAATAAATAAATAAATAATTCTTTTTGGCCAGGCGTGGTGGCTCTAGCCTGTAATCCCAGCACTTTGGGAGGCCGAGACGGGCGGATCACGAGGTCAGAAGATCGAGACCATCCTTGCTAACCTGGTGAAACCCCGTCTCTACTAAAAAATACAAAAAAACTAGCCGGGCGAGGTGGCGGGCGCCTGTAGTCCCAGCTGCTCGGGAGACTGAGGCAGGAGAATGGCGTGAACCCGGGAGGCGGAGCTTGCAGTGAGCTGAGATCCCGTCACTGCACTCCAGCCTGGGCGACAGAGCAAGACTCCGTCTCAAAAAAAAAAAAAAAAGAAAAAAAAATTC